ATGCATGTTCATTACAGTTGTTATAAATTTACTCATCATGTACTACTATTATTAAAAAGCTAATGATTATCAACAAAAAGCAGTATTAATAATCAGTTTTATTATTAGTAATTATAATCTCACTTATATATTCAGCAACTGATGTCTCTCCTACTTCACCAACAGCAATAGCAAGTTTGTTCCATGTTGCTTGAATATCAACTATAAGCCATCTTGCTAAACATTCTTCAAGACACCGCTCAGCATCTCGTGGATAAATATCCTCAATAGTCTTCAATTCAGGATGAATCAGACCCAAGTATAGACCAAGTTTACGCCATTTTTGATTCTGAAAGTTACCCTTTTCCAACACTCGTATGATATCAATTAGATTTGTGATAGTCAATATAACTATTATAAATAAAATAATGCAATAAATCTTATTTCTTACTTTCTGTATCAATTTCATCAGTTACAGCAACAGTACCTATACACAAGTGATAAAATATTAATTATGAGTTAGCAATTAATGCAATAAAATCTTATTTTTTTACTTTCTGTATCAATCTCATCAGTTACAGCAATAGTACCTACACAAGTAATTACGAGTATTACTAAGTAATTAATGCAATAAATCTTATTTCTTACTTTCTGTATCAATTGCATCAGTTACAGTAGCAGTAGCAACAGTACCTATTATACACAAGTGATAGAATGCACTTCAGTATTTTACGGTATATGCATGTTCATTACAGTTGTTATAAATTTACTCATCATGTACTACTATTATTAAAAAGCTAATGATTATCAACAAAAAGCAGTATTAATAATCAGTTTTATTATTAGTAATTATAATCTCACTTATATATTCAGCAACTGATGTCTCTCCTACTTCACCAACAGCAATAGCAAGTTTGTTCCATGTTGCTTGAATATCAACTATAAGCCATCTTGCTAAACATTCTTCAAGGCATCGCTCAGCATCTCGTGGATAATTATCCTCAATAGTCTTCAATTCAGGATGAATCAGACCCAAGTATAGACCAAGTTCACGCCATTTTCGATTCTGAAAGTTACCCTTTTCCAACACTCGTATGATATCAATTAGATTTTTGATAGTCAATATACGTGTAACTATTATAAATAAATAATGTGAAACTAGTGACACTGAATGATTATACCTTCTTGTTGATCATCATTGGACTCACGTGCACTAATCTGTGTGGTGGAGTTAAATGGTAAAATAAATAAATTGAATATACATGTACCTCTTTAAACCACATTGACTCATTACTGGTTAGGCGGCGAGGAATACTTTCCATTTCGCAGTGAACAAACTCGGAGCATGTCTGCTTCTTAGCATCAATGTTTTTAATGTAATGGACTTCACTGGAAGGACTGCATTGACAAACATATTGTACTTTTCTTGATTGATGAGCATTGCTACCATTATGGTAAAAAGTGAGAGTGTCTTCTACTTGTTGAGAACATTCCTCAAGCAATTTCATAATTTTATGACAAATTGTTTTGAAAGGAACAGGATGACTACACTCAGGGATATATCGCAACACATCAACTTGAATAGCATCATTAATATCAGTGAGAACAAAATCATCAGAAGGACGACCATAAAAGAAGTTGACACGATTACGATAGATACTTTTTATCTCAACTTTAGAGCGTGTTACTTTGAGCTTAACATTGGCATCAGTAGCTAGAGTGGTTGCTAAACGAGTGAAGAAGCCAGGAGGTACATACCCAGTGGAGAATGAAATGTGTACAGGTGAGGCTCTTAGCTTATAACCAGGTCGT